ATCACCACCCCTCTGGGATCCAGGTGGCCTGGCTGCTTTACATCCCCACCTGACAATGAGGAGACCAGCTGCTCTGATTGCCCAGAGCCGCATGGCTGTAAGTGGCCAAGCCAGGCCCTAGAAGCCAAATCCAGAGGGCTAGCTCCTGATACTGGGAGGCCCCCAGGCTTCTCCTTGTGCGGGACAGGAAGGAGCAGCACCCGCTTCCCAGGGTGTGGACCTCCTGGAGACCCTCCAGGCCCTCAGGGATCTCCCCCTGCCCAGCTAAGGCCCCAAACTTCTCTGGGAGGAACAGGCACACACACACACTCACACTCACACACACAGAACCCTATGACAGCTTCTACATTTGGAGCTGACAGATGTGCAAGGTAACAGCTCAGCACCGCCTGTGCAGCTGAGGCCCCGCATCAAGAGCGGGATTATTTCCAGCGAGGCTCAGGGAGGCAGCGTGAGCACACACCCGGGTGTGTGTGAGTGTGTATGTGTGTGTGAGGAAAAGAGAGTGTATGAGTGTGTGAGTGTGTGTGGCTTCTCCCGCGATCTCTCTCCCTCCATCAAAATCTGTCTTAATATATTTCTAATCTTTCTGTCTTCCTTCCTGTGTTTTCTCTGTGTTTTCCCATCTTCCTCTCGCTGTCCTGCTCACCCTGTCAGCCTCATGCCTGTTTTTGCCTTGGCCTGGATGCTCCAGAAAGAAGAAGAGAATTGCCTCCTCTCAAATCCCTTGCTTTGCCCCCAGGTCCCTTTCCTGTCCCACCCAGGCAGGCCATGGGGACAGACTATTAGAGAAAGCCCATTTTGTTCCATATAATGATGCCGCTGCCCAGTGGGCACAGGGGACAGGGGAATCTGGAGCTGTCCTGGTGCTGAGACGGCAGCCCCCCAGCCTCAGTCACTGCCTTCAGGCCTGGCCTTTTTCTCTTAATGGGATGCTCATCATTTACGTGTAAATTAGCAATTTAAAAGCCAGTACTGCTGGCTTCTTTCACCTCAGCACAGACCGAGCATAGCCAACGCCCTGTGCTGACCCCAAATCTGGCCTCAGGGTGGCTCCGACCCTGGCCATATATTTATCTTTAATTCTGACCTCAGACTAAACTCAACCCCTAACTCTGACTCTGTCCCCTGAACTTCCCTTTTCTGAGGGGCTGCCTCCTTTCATCACTGCCAATACCACTTGCATTCAAAAGGTTCACAGCTCACTTTTAAAATTAATCACTTATTTTTCACAGCTCACTTTTTAATGCTCTAGTGCAAAGTGGGAACACAGCTAGGCCCACTGGGTTGGCATCTGGGTGAAGGAGGAGCAATGGGACAGCAATTTTTAAAAAAAAACTCTCCAGGTGATTCTGACATAGGTCAGCCCCACCCACTTCCACAGTACCCACATGTGGGATTTCCTTTAGGGATTCCAAGGGGGGGCTTGAACCCCAACATAGGGATGCCTGGTCTGGGTGGGGGCCCATACAGCTGGGCCAGCAGTGGGCCACGGTGGCATTCACTCCCCCACTTGCTCTCACTCCCACATTCATTCATTCATTCATTCATTCATTCATCAAACACTCACTGGGTAAGGTCTGTGGGATACACACAGCCTCCTGAGCTGAGACCGTGGATCCCTGGCATCAAGCTGGGGCTTGAAAGGGCAGGGCCCAGGCAGAAAACATCTCTGCTGCAGTGGACAAAACGTGAACCAGAGTATGGGCCAGACAAGGCTCCTGCAGCTCCAAGGGAAGGTACTGGGTCTGAGGAGTGGGCCCCTCGCTTCCCTTGCTCTGGGGTCAGGGTAAGGGATGGAGCATGGGCCGCTGGACTAAGAAACCAGCACACAGGTTAGTCAGCTCAGGAATCTTTCTGAGCCTCTGGGGTCAGCTGGGTGGGTGATGGAGGACTTCGGCCTGAGAAGCGGAGCCCCCAAAGTTAAAAAGGAACCCCCTTCTCCCTCCCTTCCTCCTTTTAACCAACCCCTCCCTGAAAATAGAGGTGCAGGGCTCTCCTTTTCAACACTAAAGGCAAGTAGGGTTGAGGGGGATGCATGAGGATGGGCGAAACGGGAGACAGAGAGCAAGGTAGGGAGGTCTTGCTGGGAAGCGACAATAGTTCTTGGATGGGATGGGGAGGTGGACTCTACTTCAAAACTGAGACAGCATCCCTCGGACACTGCAGGCAGAAGGCAGACGTCAGGATTGGGGTGGGGAGCAAGATGGTTCACTCCGTTTAACCCTTCCCCAGCTGGCCTGAGGCCCTGATTCCTCACTTAGCTCCCCTGCAAGCTACCTAGTGGCCTGGCCCATTCCCCTCCTCCCCCGCATCCCAGATCACTGAGATGCTGTGGTGACCAGAGAGGTGCCATCCTGTGGGGTCCCCACTCTGGCAACCTCGTTATCACCACATGGGACCCCAGTGGTGAGGGAGCACAGCTGGGCAGTCTTGGGCATGTTACACAGGGGTGTGCACATGTGCTGCATGACTGCGAATTAATACGGACACATGTCAGCATAGGAGGCCACACTCTGAGGGGAGAGGCTGTGGTTCACGTAAAGGAGGTCAGACGGCAGTTTCCCAGAGCCCCAGCTCCCGGAGGTGAAACATGGGGAGATGCTAGGATGGAGCACGACCTGGAGGTGTGGTTCTGAGTGGGGAGGAAGGAGCAGCTGGGTGCCTCCTGGCTTGGCTAACAGTGGGCTCAGGCACCAGCCAACACTGTATTTGAGAGGCAAAGGACAGGAACTCGGGCAAGGCGGGGGCATCTGACCAGCCTAGTCCCAGCTGGTTATGCTCATGGACAGAGGTGCTAGAGGTCCCTGGGGTGGGCTTGGAATATTCCCCTCACTCCCCTCACTCCCCTGCTCCTCACAGGCCAGCTGCTAGCCCCCAGCTCGGGGGTATTAAACACAAAACCAAAAAATGCTCAGCTCGTGCATGCCAAAGACAAAGAGAAACCTTGTTTGTCTTTTGGCTAATCTGAGGCCCTGCTCGACCCGGCAGCTGGGCTCTGGGCATGTGCAGGCATGTATTGTGTGTGCTTGCATGTGCTCTTGTGTGTATTCTGGGAACACAGACTGTTAACCCTCTGGTGGGTGGCTGCCTGTGGCCCAGAGGCTGGCAAGAAAATCTCCCCGCCCCAGCGGTGGAGGGCCTGGGGAGGCTGAGTCCAGGCCAAGGAGCAAGGCCTGGGAAATCCCTGTGGCCAGAGCCTGTGGGTCACTAAAGAGGCTTTGGGGTCTGCCAGGGAAAGCAATCCTGGCCTTTTCTGCTTCCCCAGTTTCCTGAAGGACCCTGAGAGCCCAGAATCCTAGAGGACAGGAAGAAAGACTACGGTCATTTCCAAGGCTCTTAAATCCCTGGGCTCAAAGATGACAAGTGTCAGGTGTGAGCGGTTCTCGCCACCTTGTGGGCACACGTGGTACTGCTAAGTCCTGACAACCAGCCTGGTGGGGAGAGGGGAAAAGCTGCTGGAAAGCCACTAGGGGCCGGGCGGTGCTGACTTCCCTCACACTTCCATGGGAACAAAGGGCCGGGTGGGGAAATCCACCCACCACCCACCCAGGCTGGCCCAGCCCCACCTGCAAAGGCAAACCTGATGTCTTCAGATGAAGTTTGACAATGTTTGAAACAACTTGGAGAAAGGTTTGCAGGAAGGAATGTTAGAGCTCATCTGTTCTAAGGAAAGCCCAGAAAGGGAGGGGGCCCTGTCCCAGACCCCACAGCATCTCCATCACAGAGGAGAGTTAGACCAAGTGTTGTTGACTCCAAGGTTCATGCATTTTCCCATGAGTCCAGAACAAGCTTTCCACTCTGAACCCCAGGCCTACTGAGGCCCCAGAACAGCAGCAGCACAGTGAGAATTCTTGCCTCGGGTGAGCAAGGGGAGGGTATCTGGGCCATGTGGAAGGGATGAGGCTGCAAGTGGGGCTCCAGGATGATCTGGATCTTGGTATTAAAAGGCAGTAAATAATATTAGCATCTGTGGGGAAAATACTGTGCTTAACATTACAAACACTGGGTTATTTAATACAATGACCCTTTAAGGAAGGCACCCTGATAATCCACATTTTTTAGACAAGGAAATTGAAGCACAGAGAAACAACTTGTCCTGGGTCACAGGTGGTAAGCTGCAGAGTAGGGATCTGTGCGTAGCGGTTTTGACTCCAGTGAGTAAACAGGCTCTGCTGAGTGAAAAAAGAGGGTGAACTGCTTGCTTCCTCCTAGGAAACCCAGCAGGGCACTGCCAGCTCCAGGCCAGGGCCTCCCTCCAGCTAGAGGAGCTGCCTGGAGTTCTGAGGAGGCGCGGCCTCAGTGCGCCCTCTGCTGTGCTCAGGGAGGAACAAAGAGGGTTCCCTCCTGCGCGATTAGACCTCTGGCTGAGTCCTGGAGATGGCTGGCAGGGATCATGCTCTCTCCTCCCAAATATGGGCCAGGAAGGGGCTGGCTGACCACCACTGCAGAGGCCCCAGCTTGCCCACATCTACTCACTTGCAGGGTGGGTTTGGTCCTATCCCTGGTTTCTTAGGGCCTCCCTCTTGGAATCTTGCCCACCTTCCCCTAAGGCATGTTGGTTCTAGGCCCACCCCACTGAAGACCAGGGCCATGGGCAAGACGGGTATTACCAGGAGGGCCTGCAACAGGCCCCTGAGGAGGTGGGATCCATTTAGAGCATTGCAATGTGGGCAAGGGGTAGAAATGGGGATCCAAGAGAGCCAGGGCAATGAACCCTCCCTAAAGGCTGGATCCTCTTGAACAAATCAAGGGTGAGTAAACACTGGGGTCACTACAGGCATCTGGGCATGCCCATCGTGGCCAACTTTGTTTGAACCTAGGATTGCCACTGGGTAGGACTTAGTGAGAAGAGGCACAGAGGCCAAGACAACTCCCCTGGAAATAAAGGCAGCAACCCACATTTGGGTTCATTGCCTCAGGAACACCCCTAGGCCCAGCAAACCAGGGAGTTAGTCATGGGCCCTGTATCAGAAGCATTACTGTACTCCAGGCAGTAATAAAGGACAATTCGCATTTTATTTGTATCTGCCTTTGACGTGTACAAAAACTCTCAGACCCTCACCCCCAATCTGGGGAACAAAGAGTAGGTTCTGGAGGGAGAAGGCATTAGAATGAGGTCTTGATTCAACAGAAGGTCCGGCTTCCCTGAGTAAAGGGCATCCCTATAGACAAAAACTTGTGTTGTCCTCCCTCCCAGCCAGGCCAACTGTGAATCTACTGGGCCCTCCTATTTGAAGCAGCTTACCTCCCTTTCCCCATGGACTGGGCATAGACAGGAGACCCAACCCCATCTTCAGTGTTTCAGCTTCCTGTCCTGCTTTTCCCATCCTTAAAATTCTATTCCTAGAGAGAGAACACCAATACCCATAACTGCTCTCTCCCAAGTCTCCTCCTAACTCAGGGTGCTCAATACAGACTCCTGAGAACTGGGCACCCCAGGAACCTCACAGTTGGCTGGGTCTGAGAGCAGGACAGTAGGCATGAGTGCTTATCTGTGTAAAGCAGGGTTGGTGGTGCCACTGTGGCAGGACGTGAGGAGGCACAGGGCTTCTGGGTGTGCCTGAAAGAGGGGGAAGAGAGCCCCAGGAAGCCAAGGATATGGGCTTATTTATCATAGAAGTCAACATGGGCTCCAGACTTGAACATATCCTTTTGCAGCAAGCTTAGCAGTTTCTGGGCTGACGTCCTACAATCCACCAGCTCCCCCTTGGTCTTCAGCTCCTGCAGCCTTTTTCGCAAGTCTAGGTCCATAGAGGTCTCCCGGGCCAACTGCTGCATGTCTGTGTCCAGGGGCCCTAGGGGGTAAAGAGCAGATGAGGGACACAGCTGAGGCAAGGGCCTCTGCTGTGTGAAGTGGGGTAGAGTCAAGTCTCGCCAGAAACAACACCTTATCTTGGCTAACATGTGTGGTCAGAGTCACTGAAGGCTCCATTCTGTCACTATTGAGCTCCAGACTCACTCAAATTCCAATGCCCAGGAACATGGGCATATGTGGTGGTCTGGAGGGATCCAGACCACCACATATATAACCAAGCTTATCACCTCCTGTCAACCAGCATCTCCTCCTGAGATGTCAGTGAACTCTTACAGGCACCTTCTATTTTTCATATAGGAACCACAGCACCCCAGAATTAGGAGTTAATGGGCCTCAGGGACAGAAAATAAAGGAATCATAGGGCTGGAAAATCCAGCCTCTCGATCCTTGAATGTCTTTCAACCACCTGTGCATCTCTGGTAAGTGGGGACTTGCTACCTTTCCAAACAGCCCATCCCCTCTTTGGACACCTGTTAGAGCATTCTTTCCGAGACTGAAATGAAACCGTGACTGGTCTCAGCCTCATTCAGGCCCTGGCAGCCTTGCAAAAAGTTCAACTTCCTCCTAATTCCCAGGCAGTCCCCTGGGATCTAACCCAGTCACACGGAACAGAGTCTGCTCCACTCCTGGCTGTGGTTTTCATTTGCTCACTGTTGATTGAACAAGTCCTAGGCTGAGCTCAGATTGGGTGCTGAGTTGAATGTTGGCTAGAAGAATAACTGTGTATGTGTTAGGGAGGGAGAACTGGGTACTGAGAGCATGAGGAAGTAGAAATGGCACTGAGTATGAATTTGGAGGTGAGGTTTGATCCTGCCTCTGCCACATCTGGGCTTTGGTCAGATCATTCTACCTCTTTGCCCCCTGGGTGCCAAGAGGAATAGACTATTGGATCTCTAAGTTGCTCGGACATTATATAACAGCTGTCACCACCTTCTAATTGCAGCAACTTCAAGCCTAGAACAGAAGCCTCACTTTTAAGAAAGAGGCACAGTGGCATCATGGTAGGGTCGTGAGAAACCAGACCAACCATCAAAAGACCCCCTACCCTTTAACTTCTGTGAGGGCCCTATCTTATTTACCCTAGCACCCCCCACCCCCAGTGGTCCAGCACAGTTCAGCCTGAGACGATCAGCATTCAACATCTGTGTGCTCTTCATTCAACTAACATTTTCTGCAGACTGACTCAATGGGGCACTTCGCTAGGTGCTGGGGACATACAGGCATAGTCCCTGCCGTCAAGGCTTTCCTATCAAGACAGAGAAGTATACATATGAAGTTATAGTGTGGTAAGTCCTATCTAACAACTCAAAGTGCTAACAATTAGATAGCACTTCACAGTTAGGGATTATCTTCACAAATTTTGCCTCATTCAGTCCTCCTAACTGCCCTGTGAGATAAGTGGAATCTTCCATTTTACATGAGGAAATGGGATACAGGCCTGGAATTCAAACCGTAATTGTCTCTCAAACTCTAACAGCTCGGACTTTCTGGCCTATCCTCCAGTTCTGGCGGCTCCCCACTCTCAGTACCCCCTAGCCGCGGCTCCCTGCCCCTGCCAGCTCTAACCTCCTTGGATCCTGTATTCCCCTTAAGGAGTGATGGGTCATGATTTAGGGCCAAAATATTTGGAGGGGACAAACTAGGCCCCTTGCCCATCCCCCAGAGGGGAATCAGCTGGTTCTGGGGGACAGGATGGCAGTAATGTTCCACTTACCTGGGGCATAGCTCAGAACCCTCACACTAGGGTCCTCTGCGGCCAGGACCTTGAACATCATGTCACGGGCAGCCTTCCCCGCACAGTACAGTGTCCAGCCCTTGAAGGGCTGCAGAGCACACAGGGACGAGATGTTAACCACAGTCCTGCTGAGGCCAGGACTGTCTGGGAAAGCCTTCAGGAAGGCGGAAGTCAGGCAGAGCATAGAGGTCAAGTTCAGAGCCCAGTAGCTGTTCACTTCTGCTGCATCAGCCAGGTTAACGAAGCCTTTGGACACATCCCCAAGAGTGCCTGAAAAACCAGACCTTAAGAATCACCCAGTGCAAGCAGGGCTTTCTCTTCCCCCAGCCCTCTCCAAATTCCTCCAGGCACCCCCTTCCCATCCAGACCTATAGGAGGAGTCTCCCCAGTGCTTCTGAAGGCGTCTCTCTTTACCCAGCTCTGAAGACACTCACCGGGGCACCCACTCACCCCAAGTTGCAGACTGAAAAGGCCCTGGTCTGGGACTGGGGAAGAGCTTCAGCCCGGAAATTAACTTCTGCAGGGAGACCCCCTGAACTGACCCAGGCCTCCGCCAGAGGGCGCCGAGCAAGACAATCGGGAAAGTTCCACGGGGGTTCTGGAAAATCTGGCCTTTACAGGGGAAGGGCCGAGGGCGAATGGGGGCGGGGGGTGGAATGAGCACCGGGTCTCCCTCCACACCTCGCTGAAGCAACTAGGGCCCTCCGGCGTCTTTTCTGACTCCCAGCAGTCGCCTTGAGAGTTCCGAGCGCTGGGGGACGGAGTGGGACGCAGGGTATCCCCAGCGCTCCCACGGGCCGTCGGGCCCCGCCGGCGGGCATCTTACCTGCGTTGTTGATCAGCAGCACCCGCTGCAGCCCTTCGGGCCTGGGGAGCTCGCGCAGCGCGTGGAGAAGCCGCTGCAAGCCGGCCTCGGCGCCCAGGTCGG